AAACGGTCCTAATGGGACCACCTTCAAATTTCACAACATACAAAATATATCCAAAATGATAAAAATCAATTTACAGGTGCAAAAAATAAACCAGATTTGATCTCTAAATAATTGTTTCTCATCCAAATGTCTGAATCCAAGATAAGAAAACAATGTTGATTATCACTCAGTGTAAACCACAAAGTGAGAATATGTCCGAGTTTGTCTTAGCAACACAATGTTTCTCGTACATCATGATAAATCACAAATCCATACATATCATTTCACATATGTTGTAGGTGTTGTTCAAGACACATGAATAAATATGTCTGTTTTCATTATGTCCTTAGCTTGTGTGAACCACAGCATGAAACATCAACTGATTTTAAAATCCTGACCACAAATGATCGCTGATTTTCAATGCCACTTCACAATTCTGAAATAAAATTAACTATATACAATACACATCCTGAATATGAAATGTATATAATGTTATTTGCGATCTGGATGTGATGCCAAGCATAGTGTTTGTCCAAATTGACAATAAAGATTGATAGCAACCATATTAACTCGCCAAATGACCTGTGAGTGAAAGTGAATGTTAACCTACAGGTACAGCACTATAATACACAATACGCCTGCTGATCTATACGTTCTGTATGATAAACTCTGTAGGAATCTCATCACAACATCGAAAAGCTTGGTCAACTGATCTCCGAAAACCTTCAACAAAATATTCCTACAATCTGTCTCAATTAGATATACCCAATAATTCAATTTTTTTTTTTTCTTTTGAAGGGTTCAAAATAAAATTTTAAACAGTCAAGGATTAATTAGTTGGAAGTTAATAAGTTTATCGTCCTTGGAGTTAAGCTGAGAGTATTTGGAGAGTGAACGATATTCCTGCTGAGAAACTACGATCAAGAATTTATCCGATTCTCCATTATAATTGCCGCTATCAATAGAAATGAGTATGAGAATCACAAAAAAGGTAATAAAGTACGGTAGATTTCAGTGAATATGGACGGAACAAATTGACACATACAAACATCACACACTGGTAGGTCAAGATATATGTTCTAAATAAAATTGTGCTTAATTTTACTTTGAAGATTAAATAAATCAAATTTAAATACATTTTAATCCTTTTAAAATTAAGTGTCACGTGTCAATAGATGATTACAATGTAATCGGTCAGCCCAGTGATGACGATAAGGATCTATTACACAATCTTTAATCGATGGTAAATCTAATGGTGTTTCATTCTGACTTTGGTTTCTGAAAAAATATTTCTGTCATATAAATGTCTGAAATGTTTGAAGAGAGAAATTTATTTTAAGGAAATCCAGATAATACCTGTGTTTGTGAACTTGATTTAAATGCAGCATCAAGTTTGAAGTTGAGGTAATATACTATGTGGACCTATTCTAACATTGATAAAAAAAAGGTGTATTTTGACTTCTTTTTTTTTATTTTCCTTTTTTTAATAAATTCATTTTCAAAACTTGACTCTTAATCCTCACCAAGATAGGTGGAGCCACAGTTTCATTTTATTTACAATAAAAAAATAACTGATTGATTTCCTGTCAAGTAGCAAACCACAGAGAGGGGAGTTACAGTAAGAAGGGGAGGTAATCGTGTCTTAAAAATTAATTCTTTAATGAAAAATTAGTAAGAAAAATTAGGAAATATATATGATATAAATTTGCTTTACCACTTGTATGTAACTATATTGTATTTATTTTACTGAGCCTCTAGCGACATAAAATATAAAAAAAGTGGTAAGTTTAACTTGTAAATATTACATGGAATGGAAATTGATGTAAAATGTTACACAAACAACATACCTTTAACATTATTAGTGAAAACAGCACATAATTAGATAAGATATTTTAACTGGCGATAGTCTTGGTCTATATATTCTTCTTCCGCATTATCAAAATCCATATGTAAGACATCATAAAGTTATAGCGTCACCATGGAAACAATCAAAACTTTCAGCCATTACAGTTCCGTTACATCCTAGGACATGTTGTGTGAAAATAAAAATCACATTTCTGTATGTAACAGAACAGGTAGGGCGACTGAAATTGATTTTCTCGTCACCTAAATCGGTGAATATTTACCGTAGCATGCACAGACATTTAATTGATTGTATCATTATACAAATGCAGCAGTTGGACTCCTTATTCTTACTGCCTTAACACTTAACCATCAATCAATATTCGATAGACAGTTGTCACAACACATTATACCAACATACGGTAGACAGCCATCGGTAGCAGTCAACTAGAGAGCCTGGTCCATCAGAAATCCACACAGCTACACTGTATATGAATCAACTTAATTTAGACTTTTCTGCAGTTTATTTTTACCTTTTCTTTCATATGACAAACAGAAAAAGTGAAAATGTATTCCTGTGGAAAGCAAACAGAAAAAGGGCTTATGTATCCCTGTGGAAAGCGTTTGTTTAAGTGCATGATCTGACCTCAGCATGATTTCATTTGGATTTCCCTTGAAACAATACTTTCACCAGCAATAGATGTATTATTTTACAATACAACACATGGACCATGTATTGTGTTTTTAATATAATATGTTGCTATAGTTTCTAACCAGTTATCATCTTTTAACATTAAAATGAAAGACAGGAAACAGACAAGATGTATACAATAAAATGCATTAAGGTCCAAGGCTGATTTTTGTGATGCCTTTTAATTATTTCTAATTGAAATGGCAAAAGGCATCATTAAAATTCTGGCTCAATTGTTAAAAACTCTAGTTAAATTAACAACATCATTAAAACATGGTTAAAGTGGTGCTAATCATTAAAATTGTTTTTGAATTTACATTTAATAATGTTGTTAGTTTAATGAGTTTTAAACAACGGGGCCCTGATGTAAATAAGCCAATTAAAACAAACTTCCTACTTTTGAACTCATCCTGGAAAGAGCCAAACTTATGTACATTACAAACACTACATATTTAGCTTTCTAATGAAATAATTAGATATATCTAGGTACAAGTGACCTCATTGAACTCTGTTGCTTGCATGTACACCAATTTACAAACTACTAGTAGTATTAATTAAGAATTGCTTGCCATTATAAGACTATAATTGCAGTGTGAACTTGTTTTGAGATTATAAAAATAAAAATTCATTTTTGTGATAAACTCTCCTGGCTCAATCATGAAAGTTACAGTAGAAAAATATACTAAATAAAAGTGTTGACTTCACTTGGTAATAATTCATTCTGATTGTAAAATTAATATTTCTCATTTGTTACTCTTTGCTAAAGACTCGATCAATGTGTCGAGGTGGAGGATGGGGATAGGGATTTAAAACCCAGAGGTCACAAAATGACATAAAACCCAAGTTTTTTTAAAATTATATAAGTAATTCACAAGTTAACATAGAAAATGAATTCCCTGTACCCAGATCTGACAAATAAAATTTTGCCTAGAAAATGAAAACAAAATATAAACAGTCACTGTAAATAACTGTTTGTACACAAATTTGTATACATTGTATCAGGCGATGACGTCAATTGAGAAGGGACAGGATACATTTCAACATAAACATGCCTGTATTGTATGGGTGTTTGTAATACAAGAACATTGATCATCGGCGTATTGACGTTGACAGACCTTCACTACACAGGTTAATATGAGAGAAAAGATAAAGTTATCCTTGTTTCAGTTATTAGCCTGCGGCATTAAGCCTTAAGCATATGATGGTGACTTTAAAGCCAATAATGGTTTAATAACAACTTGATTTAAAACAATATATTCCTGATGACATCAGTGAAAAGGGCCATAACTCTGTCAATATCACACGAGCAATATGCAGTATAACATTCCAAAAGGACCATAACTCTGTCAATATCACACAATCGATATGCAGTATAACATTCCAAAAGGGCCATAACTCTGTCAATATCACATGATCAATATGCAGTATAACATTCCAAAAGGGCCATAACTCTGTTGTTAAGCCAATGTTTTATGATAAGCCAATCTTTAGCCATGTTATTTCCTCATCCTGTAATCACTAAGATTTGTCTGACAATGTGATACAGAGACTATGTGTCAGCCTCCTGGACATATAAGATAATAAATTCAGTGAGAGGCCATCAAGTTTTAAAAATTTAACAAAATGCTAAATCTTTATTTAAAATTGTTTGTAATGATTTTAATCAGGGTGACTAGTGAACACTATTGAAGCATGAATATTTTGATATTCCAGCATCTTACAGATTCAGGAAGTTTCTTTAGGAGTCATACTAAATCATCTAATTTCTATTAAAACTACTTTTTTGACATCAAAACCAAAAAGATTTTCAATTACCGGTTTTAATTCTGGTATTAATAGATAATTTTCCAATTCAAAAAATCTTTCTGTAAAAACTGTTATTAACATATCAATAATTTGCACTTGAAAATACAAGTATTATCACTTATACACGTGAACACTTCTGGACAATTGAATATCAATAGCCATTAATCTTCCATACAAATTTTCAAGACCATTCAGTATATTTTGAATATAATTTTTACATATATTCATATATTCAATACATAAAAAAGGGGATACGAAAATTGATAAAATCATGATGACTTCCCATTTCGATAACAACTTTGAAATGATTGTTTTGAATGTCAAAATATACTTTTTAGTTTTTAGATGGACAGCCATTTAAATCATACAATTCCAGAATTGACAACATTTGAAATGGTACGTTAAATACGCATACTGTCCATACTTTTATACTCAAAATATCGTGGGATGGGTTACAAATACAAAGAAAATGAGCATGACAGTACGTACTCGCACTTTTACGACGATACTCGGATCCCATTTGTCCAGTTGATGATGTAAGTTTCCGATCAACTGTCGGTACTGTGTGTTGCCGTCTAAGAGCACTAGGCGGCGCCGAATTGTTTTTCGGCGACCGCGACACAGGTGCTGGTGTGGAAACCACTTGTAGTGATAACCTCCTCTTAGAAATATCCGTAGACATGACAGATTTTCTTCGGGTACTCCAAAAATTACTTTCACAAAAACAGTTCAAATTATGCTGTAGCTGTAAACGTCACAAGTCTCACTGACTGAGTAAGAAACCCACATCAAACAAAACGCCAGAATTTTCAAGGTAAGTAATGTGGTATCAGAAATCCACATCAATTTCTATGCAGGTCCCATGAATATCACGAATTTTCAAACTGTCTGTCTAAATCCTAATTTTATACACTGAAGACAGAGAGAAAGAAAACCCCACTAAAGAGTAAAGGCCTATTGAGTCGTATTGTTTGATGTTCCTATTCTGTCCTACAGTACACTCAACAGGAAAACCCAGAATAAACACCTAGAGTCAACTTTCTACATGGTTACGATATGTCGCGCCGTAAACAGGAAAAAGACCATTCACTGGAAAGGTAAAGAGAATGCTTGTATTATTAAGCACTTAAATTTACAGACTTCGAAAATTACTTTACGATTTAATAAAATACTCAATACAACAAAAATATTGAAATATGAACAAAGTATTAAAAATTAAATTATTTAAGAAATTTAGACTAGATATCTAAATACAGAAATTGAAATATTTTGCTTCACCCCTGTCATTAAAATAAATTTTGCATTTCCAATAAAAAACAGTTTGTTTTATGATTCTGTACCAAAGTTAGCGTTAGTGGTATGGTTGGTGTTATATAAAATGTCTCTGGATAAGTTCATTTCATCAGAGACATATACAACACACCTTTTATATATATATATGTGATATATACGTCTCTGATTTCATGTTAAGGAAATCTAAGAAATTTTTTTCTGAAATATCAATTTTTGATTTTTAAAGAAAAATCAACATACCAATAAATCTTCTGTTTATTTTCCTTTAGAAACTTTTTAAATTTTTCTATCCTAATGTAAGTTATACTTTTATCTAAGTACAGTATCAACCAGGTAAAATCTATCTATATACAGTAAGAGATGATAAAGTGTCCTCCTAAATTACACAACATCCATGCCAGGCAAACTAACGTCCCAATCCAGTATATCTAAAGAAAACATTCAAAAGATCAGGACACATCTTTTTTCAAATTCCAACTGATCGAATTTCTGTTATTTAGAACCATGCCCAGATTCATCATTCCTAACTGATGCTTAACTTGACCACAGGAAAACAGGGTTCAACTCCCAACCATCACACTGGTCAAACCATGTTTACAACTGGTCGCAGCATGATCAAATCTCCACAGGAATTTCTGTCACTAGGCAGATTTAGTTATCTTTCTTTGGTAACTAAGTGACATCATCATTGTAAATATTATACAGACAGGTATCCTAACAAAGATTGCTTGTGTAACACACCTGTACAACTAACGAAGAAACATGCACCTGTCAATCACACCCTTACAACACTGAAGGAAGAAAATCTAACAATACACATCCATTATTCAGCAACAGTTTAACTCAGAATTTCTCACGATTTATTTTTTTTGTAAATATATCATTTAAAAGGCAGAACATGTCAACATATACCTGTCCAGTGTATGTTATCATTAATTAAAGTCAATTACTTCCATTCAGATATAAAAGAGACAAATATGAATTTAAGTAAAATTGTCGCATTTTAATATAAAAAAATTTTTTTTCCTAGAATATCATTTTCTGTGAACAATATATTATCTTGGATTTTAAAGTTGTCTGAACTTATCACAAGGTGTAGAGTATTCACTAGACTTCAATCAACAGAATCGTATCTGTTTGATAGAATGTTATTGGATTCCATGAGGTAATATCAAAAGAGAATTGATACAGATGAAGGAGAAAGTGAATTCTCATATATTATTCATACACAGATCAGCTTTATAGCTTTTCCAATGCCACTCAACCTGTGTGGTAATTATTACTTGAATGAAGAAACATTTTCATGTTTTATATGAAGCATTTAAATTGCTAATCAAATGCATCTATTTGAAATTGATAAACGCCAACCTCATGAAATAAAATTGTACATGATTGCTAAAATACCTGTTACAATATAGAAAACATTTAAAATGATAAAGCCATTATGTACAGTTCCTTAAAAACATCCATGTATTTTGTTTAACTCCCTACAAGTAACTACGTACTGTGTCTTCTATCAACGGCCTGCATTAACACAACACTGCTCAAATTCAAATTACAGCAAACGTACATGCATTACACAGCTTTAAGTTCAGATCAGGATTAATTCAAGGGCCTTTTGCCTGCTGCTCTCTGATTCTTTTACTGAAAATGTTTGCGCTTGATTAACAAACATCCAAAATCACCAGGCCCCACTTGTATAAAACATCTCAACTTGAGATTTCCTCAAGCCCAGATTTTCCTCAGCTAATATCTCCTTGAAAATATCTTGTATGAAAATTCCTCAAGGAATTTTAGGACATCCTAGCCGATGACTTCCTCCTGTTCCTTGAGAAAATTTTATACAAGCTGTTTTTGAGGAGATATCAGCTAAGGAAAATCTCGACTTGAGGAAATCTAAGTTGAGATGTTTTATACAAGTGGGGCCAGGTCTATTGAAGTTCAAACATCAATGTCGAAAGACTGGACAAAACTACTGGTACCTAGTAAAAGTTCAACTTTGTCTACAAACATATATTTCATCAACTTAAAACTCTAGATTTCAAACATAATATTAATATTAATAAAAAATTATGAATAAATTATTGCATCATCTATCACTGATGTTTTTACAGATTTCTTTTTTCAAATGTCACATCCCAGCTACCTTCTCACTGTTTACCTGTAAAGTCAGGTGATGCATATCATTAAGGCTCTTTAACCCATTGGATTTTACTTTCGTGGGACATAAAGTTAAGTAGGTCACACGAGAATGGGTTCGACCATCAGGACTGTAAGGACAACAACAGAGTTAAGACACACCTCAGAATACAGAAAGCCATATAGAAAACCTGCTTCGTAACCACCAAGGAAAGTTGGATTTTTAAAATTTGTATTCCTGTAACCGTCAACATCACAGTAAGTTTTAATTAATTGCACAGATTTAGAACTAATTAAGATTTATCATCCATCAAAACTGTGCCATGGAAAAAACTTTTAACATTTCATATGAGTAAGGTGATAAAAAACTATTGATTTTATGTGATTTTTTTTTCAATTTTTGCAATTCTGTTGAATGTTTTGAAAATGATGATTTATACCAGGGTACAAAATTACCAAAACTATGAAAATATGCTAACATAATGCTTCAGAAAAACGGCCCTGAGGGTAAAATCTCACATAACAACACCACAGGGGATCAGTAAACAGATCATACCATCTGATAAGTTAAAACAAATACATCACATATACCATCTTCATAAATATGTTGTGTTACACTCATTTCACTTTTAAAATCAAATGATTTATCCAATATTTCAGAAAATGATTCCATGATAACATACATCAATTTTGTTAAGAAAGAAAATTGATGATAATGAATGATATTTAACCACTGGGGACACATCAATTCATCAATAAGACCACTGTGTTATATGTATATCATCCTCACGAATTACTATCTATTTCTGTTCCAAGAAAACCCAGAGTCCACTCCACATTGTTTAACCGTGACTTCAACTAATGATTAAACACAAGATACCATGACAATCTGTAGGTTTCTCATAATCAACAACATTTTTCATCAAAGATAAAATAAGTCTACTCCTGATATGCATGTTATATAAAGGATGTAAACTAATTATCAGTTAAACTTTTACAGTAATAAAAGGCAGAATGTTTCCCATAATGTGTCATGTATTTTCCAAAAATGAAAGGAAAATGGATTTCCTTGTTATATGGATTTCCTTATATGGATTTCCTTGTTACATGAATTTCCTTGTTACATGGATTTCCTTGTTACATGAATTTCTTTATATGGATTTCCTTGTTATATGGATTTCCTTATATGGATTTCCTTGTTATATGGATTTCCTTATATGGATTTCCTTGTTATATGGATTTCCTTGTTATATGGATTTCCTTGGATTTTCTTGTTATATGGATTTCCTTGTAACATGGATTTCCTTGTTACATGAATTTCTTTATATGGATTTCCTTGGATTTCCTTGTTATATGGATTTCCTTGTTATATGGATTTCCTTATTATATGGATTTCCTTATATGGATTTCCTTGTAACATGGATTTCTTTATTATATGGATTTCCTTGTTACATGAATTTCTTTATATGGATTTCCTTGGATTTCCTTGTTATATGGATTTCCTTATATGGATTTCCATGTTATATGGATTTCCTTATATGGATTTCTTTATATCTAACAAAAACATAGATATTAATATTCAACATATCTCTCAATTCACATAGTAACAAGCAGCTGTAAAACCCTGATGAAAGAAACACTGAATATGTCTTAACTCTTTTTTCCTATTGTATTTTGAACCTAGAGGTACAGTAATTCTACGTTGTAGAGTACAATGGGAGTATCCTTGAAAACAAGTTCATGTCTTGAAATTCACCAGTTTGGGGGCTCCATACCCTCATTCAGGGGTAATAGAGAACACTATGTTTACATTAGAATTACTATTTCAAAGTTAAACTACATTAACTATAAGAACTTTTCACAATGTACGTAGTGCTATATATAACACAAACACACCCCATGATTACAGATTCTAATGTTGATTTAACTAATATGCCAGTTTACGCCAGAACTCTCCGATATATGATATTCTACTCCTGTGCCTCATATATATTCAAAACCCTATTGTTTGACATTACAAATGCTAATTCCAAAATACACAAAGGGATTTGTACCAAAGTAAACATTTTGTTTATCTCTATCTCCAGTAAAACGAAGTTTAAACAAAAAATGAATTTAAAGTTGGCAGGTAGTATGTAAATTATGTATAGACACAACGTCTAAAATTTGACTTCTTAAGCTATAAGATTGATTTAGAATATTTAACGAGATCAAGTTTTTAAGTAGATAAAGACTTTTTTGCGATCAAAT